AAAGAGCTAGAGGTAGGATATAGGGAGAGAGAAAAATGCTGGTGCAGAAGAATAAGCTGCTGAATGTTCCAGCTTTTTTTAGTAGTTTGGGATGTGCTTTGGGTTCTCTTTGCCCTTCCTGGCCTTACCTGTTTTATAGGCATATACTTTCAGGCACTGCTTTCTCTGATTTGTTTGACATAACCCCCCCCGAACTGGCTGTAGTGCCAGCTTGCTTCTGGTGTAGCACCCAGCTCCTGGGTAATTCCAGGGGTATAATACCTGGTCTGCTTAGGGTGGCTCTTTCCAGTCCCCACACACTCCAGGTGAGGAGAACATAAGCCTGTCTGCATAATTCCTGCCATGCTTACCTTGCTGGGGTGTTCTTAGCTCTCTTGCCTTCCTCTTGGTGTATTATTTTAAAGTGTACGTGCAGACAAAAATAACCCCCCTTCCTGCAGTTAATTCCTCCAGACTGGGACAGGCACTTCTTCCATATGTTGTTCATTTTTCTGGCTGCTCTAAATGTTTCACTATTGGTGTCATTCCACGTGGATTTCTATTATTTCTGTTTTCTATTTTTTTCCTTCTATTTCTATTATTTCTATTTTCTATTTTTTTCTATTTCTATTATTTTTCCCCTCTCACACTGTGGGAAGGTCCAGTGTGTATCTGTGTACTCTTGCCTGTATTTTTTGCCCTGAGAGGTGGGTCTGTCTGAAGCTCTGCTGCCTCCAGCAGCTGCATCACTTGGTCATTGCTTGAAGTTTTCTGCTTAGAGCTGCCAACTTTCTCTTTCCAGAGGACAAACACCCTGGAGGGTGTTTCAGCCTGCCCTCTGAATGCCATACTGGCCTGAAAATACGTTTCTGTGACCAAGCACCTTGAAAACTTGCTACAAGAGGATCTGTTGGAAATGAAAACTGAGCCAAAAGGGAAATGTTTGTTGTAAAGAGGGGAGCTCGGTGAAGTTCAAGCTGGTGGTTGTGACACCAAAAGTAAACTGAAAGGAGTGAGGTGAGACTCTGCAGGATGGACTCTTGCCCAGGGATGGAGGAAATGAGAGCATCTGTGCTGTGCTAGAGGAGCTGCTGTCACTGGGGCTGTGCTGCTCGCTGGCTGCTGGTGGCCCACAGGGCACCCATGCCTGGCATGGTCAGGGGCTCACAGAGGGGTCCAGACAGGGCAGTGCCAAGGCAGAAAACAGCACTTCTGGATTTATTGGATTAGCCTCATAGGTACTGGTTTTGAAGAAGTAAACAATAAAGCAAGGCATGAAACGTAAGGCATAGCCTTGCAGTTAGCAGAGCCTTTCCCAGCAATGGAAGTACAGGTGGTTGTTTCGTTCATTATATACATTTCTAAATGCGGAAAACAAGACCAGGGTCTGATTTAAGCAAATTACAGCACTATGTTCAGTCCCTTGCTGTACTGCCTCCTTGGAGAGGACTGTATTTAGTTTTTTAAACTACTGTAGGTTACAAAATAGGCCTGTCACGTGGCTGTGAGATGCATGTTAAGTATGTGCTGTCTGAATCACCTGGTGTTGGCATCCTGGGAGGCAAGGCAAAGGAAAATGCATCTGTTGAGCAGGGAGCTTGCTGCTGCCAGGCTTTGGCTTGGCTTTCCTGACATGTTGCTTCCTTGCTAATTTTGAAAACACCCGTGGGTCCTTCTCTTTTGTTTTTTCTTTTTTCCTTTTTTGCCTGGAGCTGGTTAGGCTGTATCCTCTGGGCTGCAAGGGAGGATAGTGTTAAATGCTGAACACCTTTTCAGCAGTGGCAGAAGAGGATTGCATCTGCTTATGAGGTATTGCATGGGTTTTCCAGTGGGATTAAAAGGATGCTGTGAGACAGGGCTGTGTTTTGGGTTAGGATGAAATTGTGGTGCAAAATAATGCTTGCCTTGTCTTTCAGAGTCATTTCAGGTAGATTACTGGGTTTGATGTTTAAGGGTAGGTCAGTGGACTTTTTGGAAGTATGTGGTGATCTCCAGTTTATCAGACACCCTACAGCATGAATGTATAAACTTTGGTCTTTTGGCATAACATGGAGATGTAATGTTAGCTGTGTTACAATGTAATATAACAAGAAGATGTAAAAAGCACAAATACTGCTCACATAGTAATTTGCCTTGGCAGTTTTTCTATTCTCTAAGCTCTGTGCTCTATACCTGTGTTGTTGTAATCATCTGTATTAAGAGAGGTTGTGTAGTGCTATAGAGCAGAACTCATGTCTTTATCATAGAATCATGGAATGGCAGGTTGGAAGGGACCTCAAGGCTCATCTGCTCCAACCTCTCCAGGTACCACTACAGTTGATATGAGGTGGCTCAGCACGTTGTCCAGCTGAGACTTAAAACTGTCCAATGTGGGGAAATCTACCACTTCCCTTGGGAGATTATTCCAATGTTTGACTGTCCTGTTGGTGAAAAATTTACCTCTTGTGTCCAATGGGAATCTCCCCAGGGGCAACTTGTGCCCAGGACTCCTTGTCTTTTCCATGGGACTCCTTGTAAATAGGGAGTCTCTGTCATCTTTGCAGCCACCCTTTAAGTACTGGAACAATGCTGAGCTGAGCTCAGGTGTGTTTTCCACTGAAACTTTAAATTTGACAGAAGAAAGCAGGCAGTGCAGTGTAAGAACATGCCATGTATATGATGAGTAGGGGTGTGTGTGCAGAGCAGCAGCTGCAGGAAGGTCCCCTCTTCTCTCCGGGTCTGGCTCGCTGTGCTCTTCTCTTTCACACCAAAACGAGGACCAGCAGGTGGACTCTCACGGGTGGGGAAGGGAGAGCTTGTGGCCCTTGCACACTGGTGATGTTCTGCCTGTACCAGTGTGTCACAGGGTCCTGTGTTTTACCAACCACAGGCCCTCCAGGGGCTTTGCTGGCAGAGCTGTTCCAGCAGAACCCCCTCTGGGAGATGGATGCGTGGAGTGAAACTCGGGGTGCCTGGGAATGAGCACTGTGGTGCTTACAATTGCAGCTGCTCTCATTCAGAGATTTTTAATTTTTTAATGACTAATTTTTCTTGTCATGGGTAATTCCCATGTCTGGAGTGAATTCTTTTCTGTTCAGCCCTGACAATCTGGTCATTCTGCTGCAGGTTTTGTTCATGAGCTTTGAAACAGAGAGGTGTGGCAGCACCCCTGAGTGCACACCCAGCAAACCAGGAGGGAAGTCTGGAGGGTTTCAGATACGTTAGCACAGTTGGTGCTCATTTTTTTTCAAGTTCACTTGGCAAATGTTTGTCCAGATCTTCCTGAACTCAAAGCACTGTGGGGAAAGGGAGGGAGACCTGTTCCTGTGGGAGGTTCCTCTCGCGTGCTGGTGCACGGGGACTGCCGGTGTGAGTTCTCTTGCTGTTCAACACTTCTAACTTCTTTCACCATCTGTGTATTTGACTTACTGAGGCTTCACTGACAGGTGAAGATGTAAGGCTTTCTGCTTTCTGATGTCAGTTTTCTCTCTTCTGCATTTTAGGAGAGCTCATACTTTAACAGTCTTGTTCATCCTCACGTGTGCGCTGGGCTACGTAACCTTGCTTGAGGAAACACCACAAGACACAGCCTACAACACCAAGAGGTGGGTGCTTGGGAGGGCCTTTCCGTGAGGCGTGTGCTACAAGAGAGAAGCTGTATGAACAACTTAGCCTACACACTTCTACCTTGTGCAGAAGGTACCTCAGATGACTTTTGCATTAACTTGTCTAAATGCCTGAACCCTTAGAAAGTGACCAAACCGAGTGTAAGTCTCCAAGCTCCTCTGATGCTGGTTGTTGAATTTAATTTCTAATCAGTTAATTTCTAATCACTGCCATACCCAGTGGCTGCTCAGTCTGTGTGATTTAAAACAAAATGCTGAACTCTCTTCTAAGCCTCCAATACTGGCTGTGTTGCTTTGGCAGTGATCCTGCCCCTCTCTTGAGATAAACTTTGTAAATGACATGAGCTGTGACTACGTTTTCTGACTCAAGTGCTTTTTGTAAAATCCTGTTCAAGATTTCAATGCAGATCATGACTTCTTGTTGAAAATTAACAAGAGAACTTGTAGCCCAAAGGTAAACTCTTGGGAAATAAGAGTGAGATTAATCTTACACATGTGGTCCATTTCTACCATAATTTAAACTGATTAAATGCACTTGAATTTCTCCTCTTTTTAAAGAAATACAGTAAGGGGAAAAAAGGGGAAAGAAAAGTGATCTTTTAAAAATTCAGGGGATGCTTCCAGACTGCAAAGCATCCTTGCCATAAGCATGTAAATAATTCTGTTTTCTGCCAGCCTGCTTTCTCAAATACAATGCTGGTTTTTTCTCCTTCCTATTAAGGGTTTCTTCGTTTTTTGTTTTGTTTTGTTTTTTACATTTTTTAAGGTGACTCAGATACAGGATTCATTGTCACAGAGGTGCAGGAATCGGGGTATTTCCTGAGATAATCCTGCTTGTTATTCTGTCAGTTACACAATACTGTAGCTGAGGGTTTGTATTTTTATGCGTGGGGGTGAAATGGAACGAGTTGGAACACAATGCCCTGTCTGGAGCTGGGAAACTTTCCACAAGGCTTTGGAGTGACCAAATGCCATTTTATTCCCAGTTACACCAAGTGAGTCTAGGGAGCAGAAGGAGACGTGACAGTCTCTGGACTGGTAGTTCAGAGTAAAGAAGGGGAAAAGCTGAAAGACAAGGGATGACACATCATTAGGGAGTAATACAGATCTAAGGGGACTCAATGGAATATCTTATTATTAAGATTAGAGCCTTTACTGCTTTAATAAAAACAAAACCAGATAAGATTAATTGGCAGATCAACCTCTCTTGCATAAAGCAGAAGTTGCTCTCAGCATGTTCAGTGCAGGGAATGGTGTGTCCAGCTAAGACCAGTTTAACAGCATCATACTGGGCAGTGGGTAACGAGTGCTCTTTGATCACTCCTCCATCTCTGGTGCTGCAGTACTGCCTGCAGAAATACATGAAAAGCAGCATCCTGAGAATTGTGTACAGCCTCCCAGATACTGGCTTTTGTTACTGGTTTTGAAGGACATGTTTCCAGTCCAGCTGCACCTGGTTGCTCTTGCTGTCTTCATTAAAGCTACATGCTGGATTCTGAGAGAACCGTTAATTCAGCCAAATCATTCCTTTTTTCTAGCTAACAGTCAGGGTCCTGTGGGCCTTCCCTAACCTTGGCCCTGACTTACAGGGTGACTGGGAGTGTCTTTGGAGCTCAGCACACTCCTTAAGCTGAGTCAATTTCCAGTGAATTCCAATCTGGTCCCAATTAAATCTCTTTTCTGAGGTCCTTGAGGTAAGTGCTGTGCCAAGTTTAGCACCATTAAGTACAAAGGATTCCAGATCAGTTCAAGTCCTAGCCCTTGTTCTTGCCTCCTGCAGCATCCCTGTGTGCCTGCTGCTTCCTTATAGCTCATTGCTCCTGGCCAGTTTCATGTGGCTCTTTAAGTGTGTATTTGAACAAAAAGGGGCATTTCAGAGCAGGAGCAGGATGGTCTCAACATGAATAATTATATCCAGATTTTCGTAGATATTTTTTGTTTATATTCCATACCTTATCCTATCCTGAGATATTATTCAGCCTTAGTGTTGTGGGGCTGTTGTGTATTTCAGTCTGAGGTTTTGGCTGGCACGAGGCTGTGGCTGTGTGCAGATACTTCATGGGAACACTTGCAGCTAAAAGAGCAGCAGTGGTTTCACTGCCAGTGGGCAGTGTCTGCCTGTCAGGAGCTTTTATTTCCACCTACTGCACAATGACAGGGGAGCAGTGTTTCTGTGCTGAGGTGCAAGGGCTGAAAGGCCTCCACCCCCTTTGTTCCCAGGCTCTTGCTGAGGGCTGCCCTCTGTGAACTGGGAGGTGATCACAGCAGGACATGGACTTGAATCAGTGTCCAAATTGCTGTGCTGTCCCTGTGCTTCCTGGGCTAGCTGGAGCAAGAGGAAGTCAGCTGAGGCTGCTGTCATTGCTCCTAGGCAAGTGCTTCATCCAGTCCCTCCCAGGAGCAGCTGAGGGCAGGGGGAGTGGCTGAATTCATGCAATAAGTCATAGGAGAAACGATGGGCAAAACCAAACTAGAGGATGAGCCTCTGAGGTCATGGGGTGTGGTATCTGTTGGCAAGAGTTGTGCTGGTGTGCTGAGCTGGAGTGCCATCTTCCTTCCTGCAGCTTGCCAGGGCAGTTAAAGGAGGATTTGTTTGTTGGTTTTTTTTTAAGGTAGGATTTATAGAAGTGTTTTATATGTAAATCTAGTCAAAGTTGCTTAGGATCATACACAGATGTGGATGTGATCATACACAGATGTGGATGTGATCATGTGATGTAGATGATCTGATTGCCTCTGTTGCAAAGACAGTTAAAAATTTGCACTGCTCACCAAAGAGGGGTTGTGCTGCAAAGCCTGTCTAATCAAGGAGAATTTCTATTCCCACAGTTTCCACAGCATTCAAGGCAGCCTTGGGATAGTCCTTCCTGCCTGACAACTGTCAGCTTCTCCTCTTCCTGTAACACCCAAGAGGAGCTGACAGGACTGAGCTCCAGCTCTCAGGGTAGTGAATGTTCAGTGACCTCCTTTGCATCCAGTGGCTGTGGAAGAAATGCACATTTCCCAGACATGCTGAATGCTGAGCAGGGGTTCCTCAGAAAAAAAAGTTATTAGCTTTTCCATGTAAAAAACACATTTGGGTTTAAAAATCCTGTATGCATCAGGGCTGTGCATTGAGTTTCAAGTGGTGAAACAGTCTCTCTCCTGGGATGTCTCTCTGCACTGGTCTTGTCAGTCACTGCTCACCATGGTAGCCAGGGTGTGTGTTTGCCAGCTGTGACCTGCAGCTCCTGCCTCTCAACACCCACAGAGCAGAGAAGGTGACAGGGAGGCCAGACCTCCACTTGTCAGTTCTTCAGGTTGTGATACCATAGAGGGGGTTGTACCAGTCATGCTACTGGAGATGCAGCAGGGAAGGGACAGCGAGTGGGAGCTGAGTCATTTAGAGCCTGGAACAAAGGATGATATCCAGATATTCACAGACAGGCTTCATTGTCTTGGGTCTCTGGATCGACTTGGTAAAATAACACAAACAATAGCTTGTTTGTACTCCTTAAACTGTTGCCATGTTCTCCCTTTCTTATTTGGTGAAGTGCTAAAATTATTTTTGTAGGCAGGCTTGCAGTGTGCACTGGCTCCTAATCTGCTGCTCATGGAAACACATCAACCATGTCCCCCAGGCTGCCCACAGAGCTGCTTGGAAGAAACCCCCTCTCAAGTCCTGGAGAGGTTCTTGCCTCAAGTCATGGGCAGCCCAAGCTGCTGGTTGGGCTTTGAAAGCTGCACAGGGAGGCAGTGATGGTGTTCAGGGGAGAAGGATAATGGAGCTGGCATGGTCATTATGCAAATTTGTGATTTTCTTAAAAATTCCCAGGGTGAACTCGAGCTAGAATTATATAGTTGAAATTCCAACTCATTCAACACAGCTGCTGTTTGGCTGAGAGTGGCTTTTAGGAGAAGGAGCAGAGCTGGAAGTTCTGTGGTGATTTGGGGTCAGGTCATCTCCAGCTTGGGGAGAGTTACCATCACAAGGCCTGAGACACTGATCTTGGACTTCTGGGTTCATGGCTGAGCATAACAACAGTGAACAATCCAGTAGTAATTCTGTTGTGCTTCCTAGTGTCATAAAGCAGGCAGAATAACTGAGGTATATCTTGTTAAGTAAAACCAATTTTTACTTTCAGGAAGCACAAATTTTTTATTCTCAGAGGGGTGTGTTGCAAAATAGTTTTCATAAATCCTTTTGTTTTCTCTTCTGAAAAGTTTCAGAAACAGTTAGAGCATAAACAGTAGTCTGCTGTTGCTTCTGGTGTGTAACATTTTCTCAATACAAGCAAAATTATTCAGTGTTTTCTCTGGCTCCTGCAAACAGAGCTGTTCTATTTACAGTCAAGTGTTGCATCCTTTGCTGCAGACACTGCCCACACTTGCCCTGCAGTGTGGTGAGGTATTTCTCAGTCATCTGTCTCCTCAGGCAGCTCTTAAGCAGTAATATGAGAAAGCATCAAAGTTCTGTGGGGAGTCCAGAGGTAGAAAAAGCAGTTTTTCATCCCATTATACCATTTATCCATTCGGACTAAAGGAACATGCTCAAGTACAGACCACAGGACCTTCATGAAAAAGAAGTGGTGCCCCTGAAGTGGAAAGTGTCCTGGAGCAATGAGAAGCTCTCCAACCTGAGAGCTGCTCTGCTGCCTGGTTTGAAGTGTCTTTCTGACAAAGTGGGCATAAAGGACCTGGGGAAGCGTTTGGTTTCTCCTGCACCTTGTGATCCTCTCTAGGCTGAGCCTCATGCAGGGATCAGGGAACTGCTCTTGTCCTGTTCTGCTGGGGCTGTGTACTGGTGAATGGCAGCAAAATGGGAGGAATGGAGCATGCATCTAGGGGGGAGAAAGATGGGTGGGTGAACTGTGGGGTTTGAGACAGTCTGTCATCAAACCACGCTTACATCTGTAGGAACTTACACCCATTTCTCTGAAATACAGCCCCCAGAAGGCACCTATTGATGATTGACATGTTTAGGAGTAACAAAACACAGACCAGACTTTTTTTGTTTTTTTACACCAAAGACTGATTTACAATTTTGTTGGGAGGCTGAAGCAATACAGTTTGTTCTGTTTTCTACTTCCAGAGGAATTGTTGCCAGTATCTTGGTGTTCTTATGTTTTGGAGTTACACAAGCTAAAGATGGACCATTCTCAAGACCTCATCCAGGTAATTTAAGTTGCTCGAGTCACTCAGATACTTGTGGTAAGTTGCATGGTTTATGGTGAAGGTAAATACTTGTGGTGCTTGTAGAGAAGGTAAGTGCTGATTGAAATAAGGATCCTAGAGGTTCCCTGGCAGGGCACACTTCTCACCCAGCCTCCAAACACCACACTCATCCCTCTGTGCCTTCCATCTGCATGTAGCGTTGGGTTATTTAATTGTGGAGTTGTTATCTATAGCCCTGTTTTGGCTTCCTGTTGTTAGTGAAAAGCTTCATGTGAACTGCCAGATTCTCCAAAACTTAACTTCCCTTGTTTATCCTTTTTTTGCCTTCTCCCCCTCCTTTCTGAAGTGGAGCTGCACTTCTGGCCATGTGTCCAGTGGCCAGAGCACTGCTGTCCAGTTGCTCTGTGTCCACGATCCACAACAACTGGTAGATTAGAAGCCCTCAATTATCAATTTAAAGTTTTCTAGTAAGACTGCAAGTCTTGAAAGCATTTCAAGCACAACACAAAACTTCTTCCATGTAGTGTTACATCAGGTGAAGTATGAAAATATTGTAATACCTTTGAGTTTCTCCTTATTTTTAAATGTGAATCATTGAGAAAGAATTAAGGGAATTTATCTAGATTTAATATCCTGAAAGTACAAAGCTCTTCTGCTGTCAAATAGGAGTATTTCTTATGCCAGAAATTCAGCCTTCCAGTTCAGGAATG